ATAATGGTCAATTTTAGTTCCGGCTTTAATTAAATATGTGATCTTAATTAGTGCCGCAATTAGGTTTCATTATTTCTTTTTAAAAAAATATATTTTTTTTAATGTTTGCTGGAGTAGCTCATTTGGTTAGAGCGTGTGGCTGTTAACCACAACAAGGTTGAAGGTTCAAGTCTTTCCTCTAGCGACTAGCGACATTTGAACTCACAAGTATCATACTAATAGCTCCACTGCAACAACTAACACTCGGGTAGAAATTAAACTTGAAGTCTAGCTTGTTGGTAGGCTCACAAATTAGAAATTTAATGTCATAGAAGTTTTTTTTTTTATAAATATTTTTACTTTTTTAGTTATATAACTGACCTGATATTTTAAGAGAGAGAAAAAATTTCAAATTACTCGTCATAACGATTTAAAGTTTGTAAACAATGTCAGAAATTTAAGCTCTTCAAAATTTACTTCTATAAGAATGTATATATCATCAATTGAAACTAGTGACTAAACTTATTATAATTATAAATATACACTTCAAATTTTTATTGATGTTTTAAAACTTACCACGTTATATTATGTGTATAAGGCTAAGGTTGGGTTGTGTATGGTGAGCCTCAAATAAAGATATGTAGCTATTGAGATTGGTTGATTGTGCCAACTACCATTTCGTGTAATGACATCCTAGTTACCCGCGGTGGGGGCTTAGATTTTTTGTTTGAAAATGTTTGAGAAAGTATATAACATATACTACCTTGTAAATCATCATGGGCATTTTAAAAAAAAAAGAATAATGGTCCATTTTAGTTCTGACTTTAATTAAATATATGTGATCTTTGGGGCCGCAATTAGGTTTCATTATTTCTTTTTAAAAAATAATATATTTTTTAGTGTTTGCTGGAGTAGTTCAGTTGGTTAGAGCGTGTGGTTGTTAATCACAAGGTCGAAGGTTCAAGTCTTTCCTTTAGCGAGCAGCGTCATTTGAACTCACAAGTTCTTACTTACTCTGAGTCTAGGTTAGACTTTTATAGATAATTTTACTTTTTTAGTTATATAACTGTCTTGATAATTTTAGTTTTTTAGTTATATAACTCTCTTGATATTATAAGATAGAGAAAAAAATTCAAATTACACGTCACAACGATTTAAAGTTTGTTAACAATGTCAGAAATTTGAACTCTTCAAAATTTACTTCCATAAGTATGTATATATCATCAATTGAAACTAGTGACTAAACTTATTATAATTATAAATATGTACTTCAAATTTTTATTGATGTTGTAAAACTTACCACATTATATTATGTGTATATGGCTAAGGTTGGGTTGTGTATGGTGAGCCTCAAATAAAGAAATGTGGCTATTGAGATTGGTTGATTGTGCCAACTACCATTTAGTGTAATGACATCCCAGTTACCCGCGGTGCGGCCTTAGATTTTTTGTTTGAAAATGTTTGAGAAAGTATAGAACATATACTACCTTGTAAATCATCATGGGCATTTAAAAAAAAAAAAGAATAATGGTCCATTTTAGTTCCGACTTTAATTAAATATATGTGATCTTAGGGCCGCAATTAGGTTTGCAGGTTAGACTTCCAGGGGGCATGGGAAGAACATCTAGACATCATCGAATTTTCTTACAGCAACAGCTATCACGCAAGCATCCGCATGGCTCCCTACGAAGTACTGTACGGTTAAAAATGCAGAACACCCTTATGTTGGGAAGACATGGTCAGTCCAGTGGCACTGGGACCCCAATACCTACAAGACACCATAACTAAAGTCAAACACATACAAGAAAGAATGAAGGCCGCCCAAGACCGGCAAAAATCTTACGCCGACCTGGGGAAGAAGCAAGCCGAGTTCTCCACAGGGGAAAAGGTCTGGCTAAGAATCTCACCCACATGAGGGGTGATGAGGTTCGGAAGAAAAGGGAAACTCAGCCCGCGGTTCATCAGTCCCTACGAAATCATAGAAAGAGTCGGGGACCTGGCCTACCGCCTCGCCCTATCCATCGAACTGGAGCGAGTACACAAAGTATTCCACATATCCCAACTAAAGAAATATATACACGATCCAAGTCACGTGCTACAACCCGAGGCCATAGACCTGGACGACGCTCTAACTTACGAAGAGAAACTCGTAAGGATCCTAGACACCAAGACAAGAACCACCCGCCAGCGAACCATAGAAATTGTAAAAATCCTCTGGACCAACCACGGGGTCGAAGAGGCAACATGGGAACTCAAAGACACAATGAAGGAACACTACCCCGAACTCTTCACACAAGGTAATCAAGGCGAAAGTATAGGATAAGGGAAGAGGTCAACTCAGCAAAACCAAAGCTTCGGGGACGAAGCTACCCGTTAAGGGGGGGAGAGTGTAACACCCCGTGTTACGTACTCTAAACAAATTAATTATTTAATCATTTACCCAAAAGAAAGAATTAAATTCCATTAATTAATTAGTAAGAGTCCACCATAAGCCCATGGACCCTTATCCCTAAAACAAATCCCTTAGTCCTATAAGAAATAGAATTAGCAAACTCATACCGTTTAGACCTTAATTGGGACTCTTAGATATATAAATAGGGACATAGGAGGCACCTAGAACTCACACCACAATAACTTTCACCACACAAGAATTCCCAAGAATTCCCATAGGAGAAATCAAGAAAGAAGAGATCTTAAAGAAAGACCCTTCATAGCGAAGGAATTTAATTAAGGCTAAGAGGTAACCCATGTCTCAACAAAATCTATTTTCCTTGCTATAATCTTCTTCTTTGGCTCCTTATTCTATGCTTGTGTCTTAATGAAATCTTCTATGATAATTGTGATATGATCTTGATAATTGATGAGATGATTTTATGTGTGATCTTGATGATCTTGATGATGATAAGAGGATCTTGATGATTGTGTGATGTTATTGATAAATCTTGATATTTCTTGATATTAAAGATGAACTATGATCTTGATGATTTAAATATGATTAGAGCCCTAGGTTGAATCGTGAATTTCGCATTAGGTTATTCTTGGTATATTTGGGTGGGAATTCACATGTTCGGGTGTTGATTATGTCTAGAAGTCATGATGGGTTGTGTTCTATGTGATTCTTGCTTTTGATCCGTTAATTGTCTACGTGGTGTCGTCATTTGCGTTTAAAAGTGTCTAAGCATGGTTTCGGGTTCCATAGTGGATCTCGGGACTTATATTTTGGAAAAAGAGTCAGTGGGGGGTAGGGGGACCCGCCACCTACCCGCTGCCCGATTTAACACAACCGGCAGCGGGCAGACGACTGCCCGCCGGGCACCCGCTGCCCGGAGGATCGTCACCGGCGGGTGGTCCTCCACCCGCTGGAATTTTCTCACCTTGGGACTTCGGCTTCCCCTTTGATGTTCCCCAACCCCCGTGGTGTCCCAACGGAATCCGTTTGTCGTGCATGAGTCTAGTTGATGTTTCGGGTACCGTTCGTAGGATAAAAGAGTCTCGTATATTGCATGCTAGTTGAATCGGTAACCCGTTGGCCTAGGAAGAAGATGTATGAACCCCTTAGGACTATTCTTAGTATGTGGATAATCACGCATAAGTTTATTTATACGCTTCCCCCCTTCCCAATGTGCTAATATGTGTTTACAATGTGTTATGTGAGCATGATACCCCAATTTGGTTGCGATCAAATTGGTTATGCACGAGCTGCTGTTCGTTATCTTGGCTGCGGTCAAACTGGTTACTCATGAGCTGCGGTTCATTCTCCAGGATGCGGTCAGTGACTCACTTCTAGGGCTGCGGTCCATATGGGCCTCCTGTGTTATGGTCCACCGACTGGACGCGCCAGGCGGTGTGTAGGGCCACAAGCCCGAGGAAGGCCATAGTCCACTGAATGAGTTGTCAGGCGGTGTGTAGGGCTATGGTCGGCTGCGATCCACCGAGTGTATGTGCCAGCGGTGTGTAGGGTCGTAGTCCCCAAGGATCATTGCCCACCGAATGAGTCCCTCAGGCGGTGTGTAGGGCTTTGATCAGCTAAGACCCACCGACTGAGCTCGTCAAGCGGTGTGTAGGGTCGCAGTCCCCAAAAGAGGATCACAGTCCACCGACTGAGCGCGTCAGCGATGTGTAGGGCTGTGATCCGCCGTTGAAACTATCGACTGTGTATACAATTGGCTGCGGTCAATTCCTTCATGCTGCGGTATGAGGTAGGGTGCTGCGGGCCGTGTTAGTGCTATATGCACTAACCCTCATGTTTGGGGCATGCGATTGGTCCCGTGGCGCCACCAAAGTGTGCTTGTGTGACAAGGATGTTGATTGAATGATGATGTGAATGATTTGAAAGTGAATTGTGACCTTAAATACTTGTTCTTTATGATGTTATCTCTATATAAACTGATTATCATTGTTTAATGTGCTTATCCCTACCTGTCGAGTCTATTCCTGATTTTAAAGCTAGAGTCTCCTAAGTATATATCTTCTTGCTTCAAAATGGTTTTCATATATATTGTATTTCAACGCGTTGGAGTGGGTTACCAGCATTATTCGCTGAACAGATATATTTGGGCGGGATTTACAACAATACTGGTTTCAACAATAGAAATTTTATCTCAAAACCGTTGTTTATGTGCATTTTTCTTGTAGTAAGATTGGAACAATGGATTTAAAATGTCAGAACAGATAGGCAATTTTGTTATCCATGCGCCACATGCTTAGGTAGCGAGTAACAGAACACACCAATAGAGTGATCAATGTTTATCTAAAGAGTTCTAGTATTTTCAAATTCTACTTATTCATTTTTACTTCTGACAGGATAAATAATTATGTAGGTTCCAGTGAAAGTGTCTACGTAGTAGTTTCCTTAATTGTCTAAACCAGATAGAATAAATATGATGCAAATGCGATCTCTGATCTGATACCTTAATTTCCGCGAACAAACTCAGGCGGCCTTTCTTACATCAAACCTTCGTGTCTAATCCCCCCATATATAGTCTTCTGTGCAGAGGGGTGAAGCCGGTTATCGTAAAACAATGGCGGGCGGAGGTTTAATAGACTCAAGAGGAGGCAGCAGAGCTCATCTCTACGAGTATAGAATCACTCCCTATTTCGTATTCGCTTGCATTGTTGCCGCCATGGGAGGGTCTCTCTTCGGCTACGATCTTGGCGTTTCTGGTAATCAATCACTACTCTTCTTCATTTAATTTCTTCACCATTTTTGGCGTGTTTTACTGTTTTTCATCCAAAAAGATCCAATCTTTGGTTGATATATTAGACGTTTAAAGATGGGTTTGTGTTGATTTAAGGTGGGGTGACTTCCATGGATGACTTCTTGAAAGAATTCTTCCCCAAAATCTACAGGAGGAAGCAGGAACATCTCCAGGAAACTGATTACTGCAAATATGACAATCAGATCCTCACTCTCTTCACTTCTTCTCTCTACTTTGCTGCCCTAATATCTACATTTGGGGCGTCCTATGTTACCAGATATAAAGGCCGGAAAGCCAGCATTCTCTGGGGAGCAATCAGTTTCTTCGTCGGAGCATTGATCAATGCATTCGCCATGAACATAGCAATGCTGATCGTCGGTCGCTGTCTTCTCGGCGTAGGCATTGGTTTTGGGAATCAAGTAAGTGTGATTCGATGTCATGTTCCATGTTCCCACTTATAAAAGTTTGAATTGTTCCAACCACTCAGGTGGATGTGCACACGATAATATGCCCAGGTAAACTCTCCTTGTAACTCTAACTAAAAAAACAATCCTAAAAGGTAAATCAGCTTAAGTTATTAGATAAACTCTGTCTTGTAACTCTAACCGGCAAAGATTAATCGATTCCACTGGGATGAGTTGAACCTGTAAATTTAACCTCACCAACTTGAGTAAGTGTGTGTACTAGAGATAAACTCTATCTTATAACTTTAGCCCATAAAAGATAAACAAGTTTGGTATAAATAAATAATAAAAACAAGTTATTAATTAATTAATTAATTAATAAAACTAAAACATATATACCTCAAATTTAGAGAGTGATGAAATTAAATTGAAATCTTGACAAAAGAAATAGGCTAACTAATAAAGAAAAATGGTGAATTTGATTAATTTACTTTCACTTAATAAATTTGGACTTTAATATATATATATATATATATATATATATATATATATATATATATATATATATATAGTTCATTTAATATAATAGATTTTTTTAAATCTTTTAAAAAAAAAACCTAAGAGTGGCCAAAATTTTATATATATATATATATATATATATATATATATATATATATTTAAATGGGGGTGGGGTAGGGGGCCATATCTCAAGGGTAGCTTCACCCTTGAATGTATACTAGTAGTAAATCCTGTCTTGTAATTCTAGCAGGCAAATGATTAATTACTCACCAATTTGATTAAGTGTACACTTTGTCTTGTAAAAGTAGTCAACAAAGGATAAGTCAGTCTGGACTTCCATTAGAATGGGAGTGCAAATTTATTCTGATTAATTTGGCTGGGAATTGCCCAAATGTTTGTTTTTGTGATGCAGGCAGTGCCATTGTATCTATCCGAAATGGCTCCGGCAAAGATCCGGGGAGCGGTTAATCAGCTCTTCCAGCTGACGACTTGTTTAGGGATATTCGTAGCCAACTTCATAAACTATGGAACCGAGAAGATCCATCCATGGGGTTGGAGAATATCTCTGGGATTAGCCACAGTTCCGGCGGTTCTCATGTTCGTCGGCGGGCTATTCCTCCCGGAGACGCCGAACAGTCTGGTGGAGCAGGGAAGGCTAGAGGAAGCCAGAGCGGTGTTGGAGAAGGTGAGAGGAACGTCAAAAGTAGACGCAGAATTCGAAGATCTAATGGACGCAAGTCAAGCGGCGCAAGCCGTAAAGAATCCGTTAAGAAACCTCTTAAAGAGGAAGAACCGGCCGCAATTGGTGATCGGAGCGCTCGCGATCCCGGCGTTCCAGCAGCTCACCGGAATGAACTCCATTCTTTTCTACGCCCCCGTCATATTCCAAAGCCTAGGCTTCGGCTCCGGCGCGTCGCTGTTTTCCTCCGCCATCACCAGCGGCGCGCTGGTGGTGGCCGCCGGGATCTCCATGGCGTTCGTGGATCGGTTCGGGAGGCGGTTCTTTTTCCTGGAAGCCGGCGCGGAGATGATCTGCGTCTTGGTGGCCGTCGCCATAACTCTAGCGCTCAAGTTCGGGGAAGGCGGCGAGGATCTCCCGAAAGGGGTCGGGATCTTCCTGATAATCATAATCTGCGTGTTCGTTCTCGCGTACGGGAGATCGTGGGGGCCGTTGGGGTGGCTGGTGCCGAGCGAGATCTTCCCGCTGGAGACGCGGTCGGCGGGGCAGAGCATGGTGGTGTGCGTGAACATGATCTTCACGGCGTTGATCGCGCAGTGTTTTCTGGCGTCGTTATGTCACCTGAAATACGGCATCTTCTTGGTGTTTGCGGGGCTGATTGTTGTGATGAGTTGTTTCATCTTGCTTCTGCTGCCGGAGACGAAGCAGGTTCCGATCGAGGAAGTGTATCTGTTGTGGGAGAAACACTGGTTCTGGAGGAATTACTGCCCATCGTTGGAGAATAATGGTCGAGAATTGCAAGAAAATCTATGATGATAGTATTAGCATTTTTAGGTTAGATTATAGGCAAAAATTTGTGAAACCGTTTTAAATATTTAGTATTACATTTGCTAATATAAGTATTATATTTGCATATTGACCCGACTTGTCTCATTAATAAAGATCTGAGACGGTCTCACATAAGTGTAACCCTAGATTATATTATTACACTCTTGATGGAAAGAAAAACCTACTCTTCTAATTCAAAATTATATTACTTTTTATATTCCATCATTTTAGAGCATCCCCATTACTTGGTTTTTCAGGGATTTTGAGAATGGTTATGCTAAGGTGTAGGAGAGAAGGGGAGGAAAGAGAAAGAATGAGGTCCTTATGCAAAACATGGGTTTTTATTAGAACTAGTAATTGTCTCGTGCAATGCACGAACTATTATAAAATTAGCAAATTTACTAATTAAATTTTTGACATCCTCTGAATTAGCAAAGAAAGTAATGGTTGTGAAAACAGAAAACGTACTTGAGTTCTTAAGCTCAGAATCAGAATTAGTTTGATTAAAAATGTAAGTATAATTATACAATGTAATATTTAATATTGGCTCTTTGTGTTTCAGTAGGTTGAGAAAGTATATGAACAGATACTACAATGTAATAGAGCTAGTAGTATTCAAAAAAAAAAAAAAATACAATGTAATATTTAATATTTTTAAAAGTTTGATTATGCTATTATTATGTTGATTTTAAAGTTTATTGTTACTTGTATTATTATTTGAATTTGAATTTTTTTAAAGGAATTTCAATTTGAAATAACTACTTTAATTATATAACTAACGTATTTAAATAAAATTTGTAAATAAAATAACATGCAATATTTGTCTAAAATCTCCACAACAAACTTATTCATTTGAAAAATATTATTTATGTAATAACTATATTTATTTTATATCTAATTTCTCCTCTTTATATATGTGGAGTCAAATTAATTATAATTGAGGTTTAAATGAATATATACACAAATTATATTAAATATAAAACTTTACCAATAAATTTGAACAATATAAACTTTTTTTCCATACTTCATTATGCTTTAATATATATATATATATATATATATATATATATATATATATATATATATATATATATAGAGAGAGAGAGAGAGAGAGAGAGAGAGAGAGCTATAATAATAAAATATAATTTATAAAATAGAAATACACATAATAACTTCAAAAAAATATGTATAAATACATATACCCACAAGATAAAGATTGTAGGACCCACTAAAATTAAAAATGCCGCCGCTTGCTTCGCGTGCGTTGTAAAACAAGCGCCCAGTGAAGCGCGTAAACATCAATGTTTTATCTTTTTTTTTAAAAAAATCCTTTTCTATATTTTGTTTTGTTTTTTTTTCTCTTTTTTCTGCTTCCCTTGCATTTTTTTCTTTCCTAGTCACACATAAAAACTCTTCAAAAATCTCAACTATTAAAGATGCCCCTAAAAAGGGGTAAGTCATATCCTAGTATGTACATGGTAAGAGTGTAATTTGTCCTCACTACATGAGAGAGTGGCCAACAAAAGATGATAAGAGGTAAACTATTCTCGGTCAACTTTAAATTTTGTGATTACCAAGTTAACCACCTTTAACTTGGTTGGGTTGTCTATTTTTATTTATTTTATTTTTACACTCATAAAAAGTAGTATTAACTAAAGAACTAAAAACGTACTATTACATGTCTTATGGTAACACTGTCTCACACACTTATTCTGGTCTAAGTATCAATAATTTGTTATATTTTCCCTTAAAGTAAACAAAAATATTAATGCCATTTGAATTGTTTTATTTATTAAAAATTTCATTTTAAGGCCTAGGGTTAATTACATACTTATATTAAGTTATTAATTATTAAGTAGTAATTGTCCCGTGCGATGCATATACTATTATTAATTTAACAAATTTACCAATTAAATTTTTGACATCCTCTAAATTAGCAAAGAAAGTAATGGTTGTGGAAACAGAAAAACGTACTTTAGTTCTTCAGCTCAGTTAGTTTTATTAAAAATGTAAGTATAACTATACAATGTAATATTTAATATTTTTAAAAGTTTAATTATGTTATTATTTTGTTGATTTTAAATTTTATTGTTACTTGTATTATTATTTGAATTTCAAATAACTACTTTAATTATATAACTAACGTATTTAAATAAAATTTGTAAATAAAATAACAGACAATATTTGTCAAAAATCTCTACCAAAAACTTATTCATTTGAAAAAGATTATTTATGTAAAAACTATGTTTATTTTATATCTAATTTCTCCATTTTTATATATGTGGAGATGAAGTAATGAGGTTTTACTTGATTGATTCAGAGGAAATTACAGCACTACTTATACACAGAGATTAACTGGGAATTAGCTAACAGCTCATAACAAACTTTAATTTTAACACAATATTCTAACAGCTCAATACTCCCCCTCAAGCTGAGGGGGGACACAGGACGACACCCAGCTTGACTCTTAAGTCACCAAAACGAGAAGAGGACAGGGGTTTGGTGAATATGTCCGCCAATTGATCATGCATGGAGACAAAGTCACCTTCAAGTCCCCGGACGCCACCTGGTCCCCAAAAAAATGGTAGTCCACCTTAACGTGTTTAGTCCTCATGTAAAACACCGGGTTAGCGCACAAGTACATTGCGCGCAAGTTATCGCACCATAAGACCGGGACAGACGGTGAATGCAACCCGAGCTCACGCAAAAGAGACTGCACACAGGTAACCTCCGCAGCAGCATCGACAAGAACTTTGTACTCGGCTTCATTAGAGGACCGCGCCACCGTCCTTTGCTTCCTCGAGACCTAGGAAACCAGATTAGGACCCAGGAACACTGTGTAACCCGCAGTAAACTTCCGATCTAACGAGCATCCGGCCCAGTCGGAATCAGAGAAGGCGTGTACCACTGGCGACGAGGCCAAGGTGAGACGCAGGCCAAGGCGTCGTGTCCCCTGTACATAACGCAACACCCGCTTGAGTGCTACCCAATGATCTTGTGTCGGCGTGTGCATGAACTGACACAGATGGTTGACAGCAAATGATAAGTCTGGGCGAGTAATCAGTAGGTACATCAGGGACCCAACGAGATGCCTGTATGGCATAGGGTCATCAAGGGGTAGCGACTCAGTAACGGCATCAGAAGTGGCGAGAGACATCGGAGTGGACAGCTGTTTATAGGATTCCATGCCAGCTCGTCGTAGAAGTTCATTCATATAGCGTTGTTGCGTCAGCATTAAGGCATCTTTGTCATAAGATGCCTCGATTCCTAAGAAGAATTGTGAGATTCCAAAATCGCAATTGCGAAAGGTTTGGAGAGTTGAGTCATGAAACCACTAAGCATGTCATAGTCGTTGCCTAACAAGAGAATATCGTCAACGTAGACTAGGATATAAGCACGAACCTGTCCAGAATAAAAAATAAATAATGAAATGTCCATCTTTGACGGGCGAAACCCAGCTTACAATAACAAATCATGGAGCCTTTTGAACCACGCACGTGGAGCCTGTTTGAGCATGTATAACAAGCGTTGAAGGTTACACACGTGTCCCGGGATGTTAGGATCCGCGTAGCCGGACGGTTGACGCATATAGATGTCCTCGTCAATGTGCCCATTTAGAAACGTGTTGTGGACGTCCATTTGCCGCATGGTCCATTTATTTGACACGGCGTAGGCCAAAAGGAGTCGAATAGTGGTAGGCTTGACCACGGGACTGTATTTTCAGAATAATCTTTGCCGGGGATTTGGTTAAACCCTTTGGCCACTAGACGAGCCTTGTAGTGATCGATTGTCCCATCGGACTTGCCCTTAACACGGAATACCCACTTGCAGCCTATCACATTCATATCATGACGTGCAAGAACAAGGAGCCACGTTAGATTCTGTAGCAAGGCGTTGAATTCGGTGTCCATAGCAGCACGCCAATGCGGGAATTTTATTGCTTGCGTGTGGTAGGTAGGCTCATCGTCGTCTACAGACACGACCAGTGCGGTTGGTTGGGGAACTGGGTTACGCCGCCTTGCATTTGTTGTTGTCCAGAGCTGCATAACATGAGTCCGAACATTAGACCTTACACGTCGTCGCCGGGTTGTAGTGGTCGACGAGGTCGTAGGTTGAAATGACGAGGAAGTCGCCCCTGTTGTTGAGGAAGACGACGTCAGAATAGCCAGTTGGGGAGCCGGTGGCAGTGGCGGAAGAGTTGGGGGTGCTGGTACGGACTGACTAGGTGGCGTAGGCTGCTGGACTGGCGCACACGCCCATGGCGACGAGGATGCCTCGCCAGAGGCAAAGGTGGCGATTGTGTGACGCATACCCTGAAAGGGGAATGTTTCTTCATTGAACCTCACGTGCCTTGCCAAATATATGCGGCCTGTGTCTCTGTCTAAGTACCTGTAACCAAGCAGGGAGTCTGGATACCCTTAAAAAATGCAAAACTTGGAGCGATAGTCTATTTTGTGCCTGTTATACGGACGCAAATTTGGGAAGCACTCGCAACGAAAGACACGTAAGAAATTATAATTTGGAGACCTATGGAACAACCGAGAATACAGACTTATATTTTGTGAAACAGTGGACGGGAGGTGGTTGATTAAATGGACCGCTGACTCGAACGCATACGACCAGTATTTCTGTGGCAGATGACTCTGGGCTAGAAGGGTTAGACCGGTTTCGACCACGTGGCGATGTTTACATTTCATGCGGCCATTTTGCTCGTGAGTGTGCGGGGACGACTGACGGTGTAGAATCCCAACGGCGGTGAATACCGAGTTGAGTTTGTGGTATTTGCCGCCCATATCAGACTGAATACATTTGATAGTAATGGTAAAGTAGTTTTCTACGAATGCACGGAATTTGGTAAACACAGAATATACTTCTGACTTACATTTCATTGGATAATACCAAACAAACCTAGAAAAATCATCTACAAAAAGGACGAAATATTTATGATCGTCTACGGATGGGACCAGAGAAGGCCCCCAAATATCCGTGAAAATCAAATCGGGTACAGCTTTACTAGAATGTTCGATTCGCGTGAGTGGGAAGCGCGCATACTTGCCCATCTGACACGCGGTACATAAATTATTTACAGAACAGGACACGTAGAAAGAACCTGACGCAAGACTCGAATGTGCGGGTGCCAAGGCGATTGTGCCACACTTTAGGAGACGCTCTAACTGAAAGGAACGCAACTTTAGAAGACGCGGTGAGAGAGTACACCCCTCCTTGACTGGGACCTCTAAGAAGTACCTGCTGGGTGGTACGGTCCTTCACAAGAAAATGAGCAAGATGAAATTCAAAGTACACATCGTTGTCACGAGTGAACTTTTGGATAGATAATAATGAAGCACGTAATTTAGGCACATGTAAAATGTTATATAGAGACAGTGACCGGGACTGTGTAGACAAATTTAAAGAACATGTGTGCAGAATGGACAGACCTGAGCCATCGCCAACGCAAAGCGTGTCTTCTCCGGTGTACGGTTCAACATTAGCCAAGATATCTACGCGCGGTGTAGCATGTGCGTTCGCGCTGGTGTCGGGGAACCACACGTTAGTAAACGGAGCTGTATTGTAGTCCTCATAAGTCTGTTGCGTCGCCACGTGAGCCTAAGGAGGAGGCGTTCGTTGACCCTCCCACGTAATAATGTTTGTTAATGACCTTGTGGTCTAGTGACATGAAGTGACTCTCCCAAATGGGAAGTCATGAGTTTGAGAGGGTATTGACTCTTTGTGCTTCAGTAGGTTGAGAAAGTAGCTATGAACATATACTACATTGTAACAGCGTCAATATTACTCAAAAAAAAAATGTAATTATGTTTAATTTGGATTTTAATTATTTTTTCAAGTTATTATGCATGGATATTTGGTATTTTGATTAAGGATTTAAGATTTGAACATTTTGAATCATTAACTATAGTTTAATGTATTTAGGTATTTTGTACTAGTCGTATTTGAGATGATTGAATGTTATGCTAATTGGATATTTAAATATATAAAATTATAAATTAATTATATAATTTAAATAAAATATTATTTTATATTTTACTGTTGAGCATATAACCATTAATGTGCAATCCAACTATTAGCTTAGGCTTTTAGTTGAGATGGAGCACATGCTTTAGTTTGGTATCAAAGCCAATGCGGAACATGTGGCCACACCACCATCTCTATCCCGAAAAATCCCTACTACCCCATCCCTATTCTCCACCCCCACCTCGCCCTGTTGCCACAGTAGGAACGTTATGCTGTGAGCATGTGCTCACCTTGCAAGGTGGGTACGGTTCCATATCCATAATTTCTATACTGTAGATTCATAATTTTTATACTGTAGATCCATAATTTTTATATTGTAGATTCATAAAATTTATACGTTAGATTCATAATTTCTCAACCACAGATTCATAATTTAAATATAATAGATTCATAATTTCTATACAGTAGATTCATAATTTCTATATTGCAGATTCATAATATATGTATTGTAGATTCATAATTTCTGTACTGTAAATTCATAATTTCTAACCTATATAGTTATCAAATTATGAACATATAGTTCTCTGATTTGTGAAAAACAGAGTTCAACAATTGGAATCTAAAGTATAAATTTTATGAATCTACAATATACAAATTATGAATTTACAATATAGAAATTATAAATATGGAACCGTGCCCACCTTGCAAGGTGGGCACATCACCGGTATCAGTTCTAATATTGATAATAATATACTACAAAATAAAATAAAATAATTTAAACCACCATAATAAATGATATTGCGATAGAATAGTTAAAATTTGGTGGTACTAAAATTGGAACCAAACGTACGATGTTTTGTCAAAACAATGAATGGACCCCAAGAATGAATACTTAAAAGCCCAATCTTGCTGTCATAGGTCCAAATGCATTTAATTTAACAAAGACGTAGTTTTTGTGTTGGCCCATGAGCTGTCGGGCTTACCCTTCAATGTTCGGCAAATTATATCGTGCACAGCGGGGTATAATCGATTATGCACTGAGCTTCAAAACAATGTCGTTTTGTTTAATAAAAGAAACGCCACCCTTTTTGCGTCGTTCCGCAAAAAAGTAACTATGTTATTCAGTGTCATTTTGTATGCACTATAGTGTCAGTTCAATACAATTACAGTTTCATTTCGATATAACTACAGTTTCATTCGATATTTATACACTCAAATATGTGAAAATGTTATTTAGTTCTATTTTATACACACTATAGTTTCATTAAAACATAACTACATGATCATTTCAATATAATTACAGCTTCATTGCACAATATAAACTCAAATATGTGAAATGTTATTAAGTTTCATTTTATATATACCGCAGTTTCATTTCAACACAACTACAGTATCATTTTGATATAACTATAGTTTCGTTGGGTAATATACACTCAAATATGTGAAATTGTTATTCAGTTTCATTTTGTATACACTGCAGTTTCGTTTCAACACAACTACAGTTTCATTTAATTTCAATTGCAATTTCACTTGATAATATAAAAATAATACGTGAGGCAGTGTCAGTTTAGATACACTGTAGTTTCAGTTGGTAATTAATACACAAAAAATACACACTCCGTTAACTGTAACGTCGCCGTTTTTTACCGCGGTCCACGATATAACGACCCTCAATGTTCCTAATAAGAATAATGTAAAACATAAAAATCGTGCCCAAATACAATATTAACCTTAACATTAGGGTTAGCGAATAGAGCTTTCGTCAAATTACTCATGTTCGTGTTTGATAAATTTTTATTTATGTTCGTTTATTATGATAACCGAACATAAATTAACAAATTTTAGAGCTCGGTTCATAAACGAACAGAGTCTACTCGTGAACAAGCTCGTGTTCTTTTAATAATGTTCATGAACAAGCAGTTAAGCATATATATATATATATATATATATATATATATATATATATATATATATATATATATATATATATATATAGTTGTTGTGTTGCTTGTTTGATTATTGTTTGTGAACATAGATTATTCTTTATTTACGAACGAATTGTGATCATGAACATGTGCTTGTGTTTGGTTTTTAAGGATTCATGAACGTGTTCACGAACATGTTCGTAGACGTGTTCGTTAATGTTAATGAATATTTTCGTGAACGTGTTCGCGAACATTAACAAACACTAATGAACACTTAACAATCGAACACGAACAGGATTTTCAAAAACATTAACAAATGAATACGAACACGAACACTCCAAAAATCTTAACAAACGAACACGAACAACCTCCATTCGTTCCTGTTTAGTTCATTAGCTACCCTACTTAAAATTTAATTAATATAATGGATTTTTTTTTTTTATGGTACTAATCTGTACAACCAAGTATATATGATTTTATTAGGCGGACTATAATGCGTTCCGCATTGGTTATTGATGGAAATCTAAGCCAAAATATAATATTTCTGTCAAACATTATTTGGTTATTTGGTATTAGATCAGAGCATATCGGTGAATTAGGTACACCTTAGTTCATCTCCATAATGGTGAGGAGGGACATATAGACGACTACTACTAAATTAAATTGAGTAGATAAATAGTAAAATACAACTAAAAACATAATAAGGTGGATTGTTAATTATGTGGTGAGGAGGGACATATAGACGACTACTACTAAATTAAATTGAGTAGATAAATAGTAAAATACAACTAAAAACATAATAAGGTGGATTGTTAATTATGTGGTGCATATAAGTGTTAGTGTGGTTGGGCCGGGCATGAATTTTGATAGTGGGCATGTGTATTAATTAAGGATTGTACTTGTGACCCTAGGAATGATCAATTGATCCTTGAGCTTGACCACCAAATGATGTTATAGCCACAAGGAGGACGCAAAGGAATCTAGGGAGATTATATGAACTGTGCGATATTCGGTTGAGAGGGAATTATTGAAATATTAACGTGAAAGAACGTTTACCTCAAAGTCAAAGTGTAAATATTAGGAGTTTTTTTTTTTATTATTATTATAATTCAAGTGTAAATTTGAAGCTAAAAACTTATTACTCAAATAGTTTTATTAGAGATAATAATGTGAGCTAGATCTACATAGGTTGATCCAGACACGACCCACATGTTACTATGTTTGGACTAGCGTGGCACAATCCTTATACAACACGATACAACCTACATTAAGGGTGTGTTGGAATCAAAATCATAGTTACTGTTTGGTTGAGATCATTTTAAAACACAATTATAGGATTTTTAAATTTTTTTTTTTTTTTAAAACACAACTATAAGATTTAATTACTAGTTAAATTAAAAACTTCATACCCTAATTAAAAATGAGTATCATTCCATCTTATATTGGTAATATGATTTTTAAGATTGAATTAATGCTTTTAGATGTTTTTTTTATTCATATTGATGCTTTGAATGTCTATATTAAGATCAATTGCCTTAATTTTTTATTTTTGTATTTTTAAAACATTTATTCCCATTATAGGGTCATACATAACCAAACATCAATATTGGTAATAATTCCAATTCCACCCTACTACGAAACATACAAAATATTTTCACAAAAACTCATTACTTTTACCGAGTAATTGATTCACATCCATTCTAATTCCAGTTCCCTTGTGCGAACCAAACACATCCTAATGTCGGCCTATCCACTTGACATCACTAAGTTAAGATTCATTGCAATCCTCTTAAAATCCTAACATATTTCAACATATTTAAAACACACATTTTCAATAGACATCAAGGTAAAAAGTAGTCCACCTGGGCAACTCAACTTGTCGCAAAGGTGAAATTTGTCACAAGAGACCAAGGATTGGGTCTCACAAGCGGCAGTGTGGGAGCATCCTGATCTCAAAATGAGTGTTGCTCCTTGTACACAGTAAGCAAAAGTCAAGTCTATGTTGATCAGTTGAGTCATCATGATTTACTCCTCCACAAAGTGTGAATAACGGTGTTTGGAGTGGGGAATCCCACCCTTTGTCACAAGGCAAACAGTAAAAATCAGCTATTTATTACTTACCTTCCTATGTTTAGCAATTTTGTTATACCGAAACTTGAGTTGTAACAACTAGCAAGCAATATGTGGAAGCGTAATAATAGTGTTTACAGACCTCTGAAACAATGCATTAAGACCGCTGTAAATGAGAAGACTCAGATCTCCATCTGTTAATGCTTGTTGGTTTATATATAGTTCATGCGCTCGATGGGGTAAAGATCTGTTAGGTTTGTACTTTTTACCCTCATTTAGACATTCACATAAGTCTAAAGGATATATTTATAATGTATTAAAATATATATTTAATTTGTGAGTCGACTTATGACGTAACGCTCAATATTAATTTATTCTTAATATACTTTATTTTCATTGGGTAAATAAATATCCTTTAATTCATCCAAATAGTTGTAGGCTAGCTTCACACTACAATTCATTTAATAATTATAATAACTTTTATATCATATATATTACTCCGTATGTATTATGTATTACATAACAAATAAAAACATACAAAAAGAAAGAAATTAAAAAAAAATGACTATGCCGAACATCTGGCGTGCCCGTTAGAATGTGCTCATCCCGTCATCCTTGTAATTTCTTCGGACCTTGCTACACTCCCCTACATTTACCACTCTCGGACATTCACTCCTTAATGTGGCATTTTATGGTGAATTAAAATTTGAAAAAAAAAAAAAAAAAAAAAAAAAAAACTCTCCACACAAAAATAAGCACATGCATCAAGGAGTGGCTATAAATTGTGTGGTTTTTGTAGGGTTGGAAGCATTTCCTAATTTTCTCTCTTGCAATATGACATGGCTAGATGGCATGTCATTCTCTTTTTTTTTTTTTTTTTGTTAATTATTATTATTATTATTATTCAGTGTTGCAAAAATCCCGCCTAGGCGGCCGTCCGGCTAAACCGGCATTTAATTTTATTTTTTTTTGCGTTGTGAAGTGCGAAAAGTTCGGGAAGGCATAACTTTTGACTCGGTTGTCCGCTTTTGACAATTTTTTTTTGAAATTGCGTATTTTTTCGAGATCTATCCACCGCAAACAACCGAAGGCGGTTTGACCATCTAATTTCTTCAAAAAATGTTTCTTTTGCTCTTAGTTTTAATTTTTTTTATGTATTTAGATGGTTTCAACAATATTTTGAACGATTTTACAACCACTTAGGTAAATAATTTGTAAGAAAAAACTAGAGGAATCTTATGTTTTATTAGTGAATTTTACAATTTTTAGTTTAATTTTTTTTATTTTTTTAAAAATAAAAAAAAAATAAAAAAATAAAAAATCGGCGTTAGGCGCTCCCTCGGCGCCTAACTTTTTTGCAACATTGTTATTATTATTGTTCTTGTTGTTGCTGTTGTTGTTGAAGTGAACTAGAATTGCAGGGATATAAAAAAATAATAATAAATGAATTGTACATACAATGATATGGTAGTAAGATCCACTTTTGAAAGTGCGAAAATATTACAAGAATAAACAAATCCTTAATTAAGCAACGCAATGACTTTCATGCGATTTTTTTTTTTTTTAATCTGTGACTAAATATCTGGATGTCCCATTGTTTTACCATCCCCATTGCATTATTTAAGTATATTAACTTATGATACACTACTCTTAATTTCCCACATTAAGTGTGCCCTAACTTGTATATGTATATCGTATCTCAAATGGAGTAAAATGTACACTATTAAAAGAAAAATAACAAACCAACTACTATAAATATTGGGAGTGCCCTAACTAATATATATTCTATTTATAAAATTGTTACTGTCATTTTTAGTTTGTAATAATCCATATAAATTCTTACTTTTTGATATTTTAGAATATGCATGATTCCTCATAAAATGCATCCCATAATATTTTTTTTGGATCTAAGGGAGGGGTACCCAATTAGGACTGTAGGGTCGTCGTATCCCATAATATTTGAAAACATTATTGTTTGTGTAAAAGTTAAAATCTTTTCATATAAATTTACACATGCTGATCTGACTTCATTTTTAAAAAATATATATTTATTGACCAATTTGTGTGTATTTGTTGTTGTTGGTTTCAATTGAATATTCCCTCTATGTACAATGGATAAATATACTGTGTCTAGTGTCTACATATATATAATTAGGCATTTATATATGCAACTTTAAGGCACACCATGCATATACTGGTAACTGGTCAAAGTAATTAAATAGCATATGGATATATAATAGAAATATAATATTATTTAGCCATTTAATTTGGAGCATAAAATAAAAACAAATAAAAAAATTGGCGAATTCATTAATCATGCATGAATATTTTATATTTTCCATTAAATAATTTGGCGCATTCATTATATTAAAAACAAATATATTAATTGATTATTAGTTTTAGATTGTAATTCACCTTTTTCCTTTTATTTTTTTTTACACTCTCCCCTATCAATGTAGACCGCCTTACAAACACGTTTAATTTATAGAATAAATTTTGAAATTATACAAATCATATTGATATGAATTATCCCCGGCTGTAGTTAGCTTGTAGCCTGATCGGTACCGAGTCCACCCACTGGGTAGGGCTGGATCCAAGCACGGCCAACCTCCTTTCGTGCTTAGCCGACCTAAATCTCATACCAAGTGCAGTTCCACTAGTCAAGCGAAGATCAGTATCAATTGCTTTATTCTAATCACATTAGGTCGGGACCGTGCGCCTGACGACCTTTGGTACCTGTAGCCTTAAGCCTAGTTCTTTTAGCTGAATTCGGTAGCGTTAGACACGATGGAATCAGGCATCTGCGGACACGTGGGCGAACTAGCTAGGGCCCCGACCTTACCCAGTGCATGCAATCCACGTGCCACGCATGCCGAGGATTAGTAAATGTCTCATTACACTTCCTATAATATAAATACGCCATAATTACGAAGAGGGGGACTTTTGGCATTTTTCATAAACTGGTCTTTAGCTCGGAAACCTCTGACCTACTGTCACGTAATTCGAGTCTAAGGACTTAATCCACAAGCAGACTAAGAAAGGGATCATAACCGAAACCGATCACAACACCATACGAATTAGTAGAAATTCCCATATTTACTACATCACATATATTATCGAAAATGAAATAGGTAAAGAATAGAATATGAATCCAATTTCAATGTTTGGTTCACATAAGAAATACATTCAAGAAATTTATTATACTTTTTGGTTTGATTAAAGAACAAAAACGCAATAAACATTCAAAAGATAGAATTACCCTTCATATATATATATATATATATATATATATATATATATATATATATATATGTATGTATGTATGTATGTATGTATGTATGTATGTATGTATGTATGTATGTATGTATGTATGTATGTATGTATGTATGTACATACATATATTGTTGTTGTTGTTATTATTACATACATACATATATATATATATATATATATATATATATATATATATATATATATATGTATGTAATAACAACAACAACAACCTTATTATTATTATCAGACACAAACACACACACACACATATATATATATATATAGAGAGTTAATAACTCCAATGATCCTCCGAGTATTAGCGATTTACCAGCCGTGATCATCCGAGTTTTAAATGACCTCGAAATACAGTTATGTTTCTTCCCCCTCCACTTTCTGTAGTTTAGCTCTTGACTCGAAGAAGAGTATTCCTATACAACCTTAGGGTTGTATCATACATGGCCTGGAAAACCTGCAAAAAAAAAATGTTCTTACTTTGTAAGGGTTTAAGCACAGAGACTTACTGAGCCCTACCATCAAGACTGAAAAATTCTTTAAAAAAAATTAATAAATTACCTTATGACTACTTGGTGATGATATCTGAGAAAAATCCACCCGTCACTTATAGTGAAGTGAAGGGAAATAGAGAGTGAATAGAAAGAGAGATGGGGAGATAGTATACTGAGGTAGTAGAGCTGGTGAGATGTAGGGGAGGTGTTAAGAGAAAGAGAGGAAGGTGTGTGGCTGTATAACATTATGTACAAGAGGGCGCCAAAAATAAAAAATAAAAAATGGTGGTAATTAGATTTTAGTGAAATAATTTTCAGATATCAATAACTAGATTAACAACATCTTTCGTACCAATAACGAAGGAGAGTATACTTTTAAATAAGTATAAAATTAAAATTTCGTCACTAAATCATAAACCTTTTTCTAGAGTAATATTTAACTCTCACAAAAATTATGCAAATAATACATTTAGTCAGAGATTTTTCTACTTATACTAATTTTTGTCACTAAAAATTATTTTTCTTGTAGTGATATGAGATTAGTTGCTCCTAACAATCATCAACATGCACAAAAATGAGTTGATGATTGTGTGGCCGGGCGCGTACAAGACTTTGATTTCTGCTATGATTTGCGATCTCCGTCATTATGTAATTATTATGATGATATATATATATATGGTTAAATGCCAGCTGCTTTATTATCTATCTCCATTCTCCAAAGCTTCAACAATTCATATATTTTACTCCACTCCACTCCGCCCCGTCCCAACTTTTTACAGGAAACCAAATCTCACCTTCCTTCCTTCCTAGCTACTTCCTCATTCCATCTCAATCGATCGATCATCTCTACGTCCCACTCCCTTTCCAATCATCATCATCATCTTCTCCCCCCCATACATCTTTATCTCTATCTATATATAAACACTCTCCCTCCCTTCCAACTTTGAACTACATACTATACCACCCGCCCTTCTATTATTCATCCATCACTTACTTAGTTTGTGTTTCTCTCTCCCTCTCTCTCTCTCTCTCTCTCTCTCTATATCATATCAGTGTAAGAGAAAATCTTGATCGAGTGTCGGTAATGGCGGCAGAGTCATCATCATCGCACTCGGAAACGGAATCAATAAGTAGCTACTCATCATTATCTCCGTCTTCTTCTTCCGGCGCCGCTGATCGGCTGAAGAAGCGGGGGAGGGGGGACGGCGGCGACGGCGGTGATAATGGCGGGAAGAGGAGTAGAGGGCGGAGTGATTTGAAGCATCCGACGTATGTGGGGGTGAGAATGCGGGCGTGGGGGAAATGGGTATCGGAAATTCGGGAGCCGAAGAAGAAGTCTCGGATCTGGCTGGGCACTTTCGCCAGCGCTGAGATGGCCGCTAGGGCCCACGACGTCGCCGCGCTGTCGGTGAAGGGAAAATCCGCCGTCCTTAACTTCCCCGAACTTTCCGACCTCTTGCCCCGCCCCGCCACCTCCGCGCCGCGTGACATCCAGGCCGCCGCGTTGAGAGCCGCGCATATGGACCATCTCGACCCGCCGCCTAAGCCCGAAACGCCCGAGCCGTCATTGTCGGCGGCCTCATGCTCCTCCTCCTCCTCCTCGGCGGAGGCGCCGTCGAGCCAGGAGGAGCAGCTGGGAGAGATAGTGGAGCTGCCGAAGCTGCCAGACCCGAGTTACGATTTGGTCGAGTCAACTCGGGACGAGTTTCTGTTTATTGACTCGGAAGTTTGGGATTACTTCCACCCATGGTGGCATAGCTTGGAAGACGACTATGGACATTACGGCGGCGGCGGCGGCGGAGGAATAAATATCGAAATATCAGAGTTTGAAAGTACAGTTTCAGGCCATTTTGAGAGCTTACTATGGCAACACTGAAACAGTTTAGTCAAACACCAACAAAAAAAAAAAAAAAAAACAAAAAATTAGAGTGAAATTACAAGTTTGCCCTTTCTCTTCAAATTTTCTTTCACATTTTGTGAGAGTTTTATTTTATTTTATTTCTGGGAATTTTATATGGACTCCTTTTTCCTGGTTTGTTTGGGTGTGTTTTTTTTTTTTTTCTTAAATATTTACAAGCATGAGTAACTGTACTATAATGCACCCCAAGTACAACTGTACACAGTGGTATAATAGAATTGAAGTTTTGGTTTCACTACATTACTCTTTTTCTTAAATACTGAGAATCAGTGAGTTTATTCCGTATAGATTTTACTGTATTACTCTGTTGTATTATAGGTAGAGAGTGAGAATAAAAAAATATTATGTCTTAATTTTATTGATATGATGTGTTCAAGCAACATTAATTAATGTCATTAATGTTATGTCCCAATATATTAATTCTAAAGTTGAAGTTTAGATCAATCATATATTTAATTTGTAGAAGGGAAAGAGAAATGTTGATGGAAGTGCGAGAAGATAATTGAGGGTAACTATCAAGGAAAATTGTCTTGAGCAAACGAGATGATTGGTTCAATGATTTTACCTATAACACACGATTACTTAATTTAGGATTGCTTCTAGCTGAATTTAGCTCGGTAATCATAAGATTTTAAGTTCTACTCTCTGTAAACATCATTCTTAGTTTCTGTAATAGTCCGAACTGCACTATATGAAGACCTGTATAATGAACTTGACTAAGAAGTATTAACAAGGTTTTTAAATACGAGAATAATGTACCACTTGTTTTTTTTCCTTTTTAATTTTAGACAATTTGTGATGTTCATTATTCTTCTAAAAAGTTAAATCTGCAACCCCAATGGCCCTCATACCCAGGCCGATAGAGTATTTAGGAGGATGTAAATCATGGTGACTCAATAACTCAATAGATATAGCCAAATGTCGGTGCCTACAAAAGATCTGTCCACTTTAAACATAATCTCGCCGTCGAAATTCAAATATTGATATCTGATCTTCTCCTAAATACTGTTTATTAAACTATTGAGTTATGCTCGTGCGGGCAATGTGTGATGTTAATTGGCTAGAGAGAGTGGGGGAGTGAGGTGAATTGAGAAAGCAGAGAGGCGGACAAGTGTTTGAGGAAGCAGAGACGTTGCATGGCTACACCGCCGACACGTTGGTGGGGTTGACCATTTGCACCTCCCTCCAGTCCACCACCTGCAAATACACTTAACATTTTTCTTGGACATATTTTGTGCCTCTCTTCTTAATGTCAAAAAGGACAACACTCTTAAAACTATTCAATATCTTTTATTTGGTTACAATGTCATATTTATGTTTTCTCACTTTAATTTCCATTGTTACCCTTTTAAAGATTAGTATGATATTTTGACACATACTTTTGCTATTCATTATACTATTCATCTCGATTTTAATTTTAAAAATGGAAAAATTTATTCACCCCCTAAATAAAAATCAACAACCAAACACCAGGTATGTAGAGATGATCACGATTATTATTATTAATATTATTATTATTAATATTATTATTATTACTTTATTTTTTTACTTAAAACTTTAAATATTGATGTTAAAGTTATTTTAGAAATTAAAAAAATAAGTTGAATTTAGATAATTTTTTGACTTTGTGTTTCAGTAGGTGAAAGTAGTTATGAACAGATAATACATTATAATAGAGTCAATAACATTCAAAAAAAGATAATTTTTTGAACTACTTGAAACTCCTATCTAACAATTCAAAGGCATTAACATTTATATGAGAAATTTCATTTAAAACTTGCTAGCTTTTAGTGGTTAGGAGGGATTCGACTACATCCCTTACCTTAAACATTGAAAATTTAAATTTAGATTGAATTTCGTGCGCGCAAAAAAATTATAATTTCATGCTCCTGTCTGATTTTATATGTGGAGTTTAGTATTTATTGATTAATTATTTTATTTTTTTTTAATAATTTTTAAATTTGAAAAAGTATAAAACAGATATTATTTTATAAAGGTTCATTAGTATATAAAAAAAAATTAATTTTTTGTTTTTAATAACAATTCTAATATAGTTTATATATATATATATATATATATATATATATATATATATATACTAATAGTAAAGTTAATATTATGAAAAATGAAATTAAAAATAACTGCAAGCGATAGAAATTAAACCCAGTCTCCTTTCGTACCAGGCCGGGTCAAGTAAGGGATAAAATGTTGATTTGATTAATTTTTTTTTTTTTTTATAAAAGACAGGGTTTAAATTCCTGTCCTAAAGAATGAGTACACGACCACTTATGTCAATCAAGCTGATTGTAATTAAGCAAATTAAACACATGAAATAAGACCGGAGAATTATTAAACATTTCTAACAGGGTTCCAAGTTTCTTAAAACAAGAAACTTGGAATTGACTGTTCGAAGCCGGAACAGGACCGTGATTAAGCTACTAGCAAGCTCGGTCGCTCTCCGTCGTCCGCCATCTCCGTTGTCCCGTGGTGCTTCGAACTCCAGCAAATCACGGCCTCTCCGTCGCCGTCAATGGCTGAGCTGCTTCAATCGTATTCAAGACTTGGATTAGAGAAAAGTATCAGCTCCGATCCATCGCTGTCTTGGCCATTGCCATCTCCGGCAATTTCGATCAGCAATTCCCTCTTCTCCGCCGTCAGCGGCGGAATCTCTTTACAAGAAGTGGCTGGGGAGGGGAGCTCTGTGGATCGGCGTGGGAGAGCTGAGCCAGCAAAGACACTGAAGTCGTCGAAGGTAAAAAAGTGAGTGTAATTTTTAATAATAATATTGAAATTCATACTCAAAATAAAAGTAGATAAATAAATTAGGGTATTTAGTTATTTTACACAATAATATAGTCTTATACGGAGTAATATTTAATTTTGCATTAATTTTTTTTTTTGACTAAACCGTAAATTTTATATATTTAAAATTATATTAAAATTTTATTTTATTAAATAATAAAATAAAATATTTAATTACTTTTAAAGGAAATAAGTTATTTTTAGCACTACATACTCCACTGAACCAATAGTCTGCCTCCAGTGAGGCGAACCCACAACCTTTCACACAGAGGAGCAACTTGGTACCAGTAGACCACAAGACATAAAAAAGTTGATTTGAGTAATGTGCAGGTGTGTCAAAAGACATAAAAGGGAATAATAAATAAATGAAATTATTGTCAAATAAGAATTAAAGAAAAATCACCAATTAAATAGTAAAATTGCCCACGCTCGGAAATTATCAAATTAAAGAAATTTACAATGAATCGAATAATAAGAATATATTATTATTATTATTATTATTATTATTATTATTATTATTATTATTATTATTATTATTATTATTTAGTAAATTAAGTACCTTCCCAAATAGTCTTTTTCTCTCTACCTAGGTTTTCCATGCTCTAGGATTTCTGTCGGTCTCCTCGACTTTTCAAGACGGTTTCTTTTTCGGATTCGATCTCCGGTTACGATTATTGATACAGCAGTAGCGATCGGCGACGGAACGTTAACTAGCCAACGTTCTTGTCTCGTGGCGTGGAAGATGGCGGACCAGACAGGCGTGGCGGGATTGACAGCGCAGTGGGCGGACATGGTGTTGGCGGAGGAGGAGGGTGGTTTTGTGCCACAGATGGCGGAGGGGCAGAACGGGGAGGCAGTGGGGGAGGACGAACCCTCGTGGGGGGTGGTAGGCCGTTTCTTGACAAGGAAGCTGGTTAAACTTGAGTTCATGAGTCAGGTCATGGCATCTGTATGTCAGCCAGTCAGTGGGGTCCAGGCATCTAAGATACAACCGGGCGTGTTTCTATTCGTTTTTCATCACATAACGGATGTTAAAGGCGTTCTTGACGAGGGGCCATGGTCATATGATAATAGCACGTTAGTCTGCAAGCAAGTCCCTGAGAATGTTTTGCCGGTTAATGTTGAGTTGAATACGGTAGACATGTGGGTGCAAATTCATGAGTTACCAATGGGATACACATCGGAGTTAATACAGGAACAAATTGGGAATTATTTGGGAGTGTTTGTCAAAAGAGATGATCGCTTTCAGAATATGCCCGTGAGAACCTTTTATCGGATTAGGGTTTCACTATCGGTTGATAAACCACTGAAACGCCGAATGAAGTTTATTAAGCGGGATAAAACGAGTTGTTGGGTGTACTTTAAGTATGAGCGGTTGCACACGTATTGTTACTTCTGCGGAATGCTTGGTCACTCTTATAAATTTTGTCGGGGTGCGAGAGATTCAGTGATGCCGGTAGAAGATTACTTATATGGCCCGGACTTGCGGGCGGGGGGAAGTCGGGGACTGAGGCCGGTCGGTGGCAGCTAGTTGCTACCGCTGCCGACGGCAGTGAAGGGGAATGGCTCGGGAGAGGGAAAGAATGGGCCGGCGCAACGTGGGGTTGGGTCGGGTAGGCCGGATGAGGTTGAGACCGGTGTGGTTGCTGTGACTAAGCGCCGGCGGGAGGGGTTGGAGCGTGAGGGTGTGGAGTATGAGGTGGTGGGAAGTGATGTTGTGATGGCAGATCGCTCAAAAAACTTGCAACAGGCGGGTACTGGTTCCCAGGCCCGCCCAACCCAATGAGTACTCTTAGTTGGAACTGCCGTGTCTTAGGCAATCCACGGACGGTTCGAGAAATTGTGGACATGGTGTCCAGTAAGAAGCCGGACTTTGTATTTCTGATGGAAACGATGGTGGGACAGGATCATGCATAACGACTTCGAGTCAAAATTGGTTTTGAAGGTTTGTTCTATGTGGACAACGAGAGGAATTGGGGAGGTTTAGCGTTGCTCTGGAGGAAAAACAATACTGCTACCCTCCTGAGCTACTCTAAGAATCATGTGGATGTGGAGGTTCGATTGGCTGGTGATAGAATTTGGAGAATGACAGGTTTTTACGGCTTCCCAAAACGGGAGGACAGAAGGGAATCATGGGAGTTATTGGGGACGCTAAGTGGGAGATCCTCGCTTCCTTGGGTTGTAATAGGGGATTTCAATGATCTCTTATATCAACACGAGAAAAGGGGGGGGGGGGGGCGGGGGGGGGGGGAACCCGCACCCAAATAGTCTCCTTCGCGGTTTCGGGGAGGTGATTGATGGATGTGGCTTGGCGCAGATGGCTATGAGAGGCTATCAGTTTACCTGGGAAAAAAGTAAAGGCACGAACAATTGGATTGAGGAGAGGTTAGACAAGGTGTTGGCAACGACATCTTGGGGGGATGTTAATCCCCATGCAGAGGTACA